GGAGGCGGAAACAAATGGGCCGAGTTTATTTCACCCTGATGCTCCTGTTCACCTACTAGTAAATAGGTACCTGGGAGTTAGACAGCTGCTACGGGCTCCTTCCTGGGGGGGGGGTGGTGGTAACAAAAAGAAGCCCTGGTCGAGGACCGGGCCGCGGGGACGCTAAGCCCCGATATCACTTCAAGGTAATCAAGATACTTTTGTAGTTTCTACTACTTAACCTTAACTACTTAATTACTTATACTTCTGTAAAACAAGCTTTGTAGCTTCTTTAAGTACTGTCACTTGTGGCTGACAGCTGCAGTAAGTACTGTCACTTGTGGCTGACAGCTGCAGTAAGTACTGTCACTTGTGGCTGACAGCTGCAGTAAGTACTGTCACTTGTGGCTGACAGCTGCAGTAAGTACTGTCACTTGTGGCTGACAGCTGCAGTACTGTCACTTGTGGCTGACAGCTGCAGTAAGTACTGTCACTTGTGGCTGACAGCTGCAGTAAGTACTGTCACTTGTGGCTGACAGCTGCAGTAAGTACTGTCACTTGTGGCTGACAGCTGCAGTAAGTACTGTCACTTGTGGCTGACAGCTGCAGTAAGTACTGTCACTTGTGGCTGACAGCTGCAGTACTGTCACTTGTGGCTGACAGCTGCAGTACTGACACTTGTGGCTGACAGCTGCAGTAAGTACTGTCACTTGTGGCTGACAGCTGCAGTAAGTACTGTCACTTGTGGCTGACAGCTTCAGTAAGTACTGTCACTTGTGGCTGACAGCTGCAGTAAGTACTGTCACTTGTGGCTGACAGCTGCAGTAAGTACTGTCACTTGTGGCTGACAGCTGCAGTACTGTCACTTGTGGCTGACAGCTTCAGTAAGTACTGTCACTTGTGGCTGAAAGCTGCAGTAAGTACTGTCACTTGTGGCTGACAGCTGCAGTAAGTACTGTCACTTGTAGCTGACAGCTGCAGTACTGTCACTTGTGGCTGACAGCTGCAGTAAGTACTGTCACTTGTGGCTGACAGCTTCAGTAAGTACTGTCACTTGTGGCTGACAGCTGCAGTAAGTACTGTCACTTGTGGCTGACAGCTGCAGTACTGTCAATTGTGACTGACAGCTGCAGTAAGTACTGTCACTTGTGGCTGACAGCTGCAGTAAGTACTGTCACTTGTGGCTGACAGCTGCAGTACTGTCACTTGTGGCTGACAGCTGCAGTACTGTCACTTGTGGCTGACAGCTGCAGTACTGTCACTTGTGGCTGACAGCTGCAGTAAGTACTGTCACTTGTGGCTGACAGCTGCAGTAAGTACTGTCACTTGTGGCTGACAGCTGCAGTAAGTACTGTCACTTGTGGCTGACAGCTGCAGTAAGTACTGTCACTTGTGGCTGACAGCTGCAGTAAGTACTGTCACTTGTGGCTGACAGCTGCAGAACTGACACATGTGGCTGAAAGCTGCAGTAAGTACTGACACTTGTGGCTGACAGCTTCAGTAAGTACTGTCACTTGTGGCTGACAGCTGCAGTAAGTACTGTCACTTGTGGCTCACAGCTGCAGTACTGACACTTGTGGCTGAAAGCTGCAGTAAATACTGTCACTTGTGGCTGACAGCTGCAGTAAGTACTGTCACTTGTGGCTGACAGCTGCAGTAAGTACTGTCACTTGTGGCTGACAGCTTTCAAGGAACTATATAATTGTGTTCATTACTCAATTAGGATAATATATTTACTTTCATTGTGGTTATCTTTAGGTTATCTTGAGGTTATCTTGAGAGATGATTTCGGGGCTTTAGTGTCCCCGCGGCCCGGTCCTCGACCAGGCCTCCACCCCCAGGAAGCAGCCCGTGACTGCTGACTAACACCCAGGTACCTATTTTACTGCTAGGTAACAGGGGCATAGGGTGAAAGACACTCTGCCCATTGTTTCTCGCCGGCGCCCGGGATCGAACCCAGGACCACAGGATCACAAGTCCAGCGTGCTGTCCGCTCGGCCGACCGGCTCACTCTTTGTGGTGGAAAAGTTTAAAATAACATCGTTTCGAGCGATGTTAGATAATGGATAATTTACAATTTACAATTTACAATTCATATAAAATGTTGCTCATGGTGGGGATTGTCATGTTCCCCACTGATTGTAAATGATGGCAAATGAGTGTGAATGATTGTAAATCATCGTAAATGATTGTAAATGTGCGTAAATGATTGTAAATGTGCGTAAATGATTGTAAATGTGCGTAAATGATTGTAAATGTGCGTAAATGATTGTAAATGTCCGTAAGTGATTGTAAATCATCGTAAATGATTGTAAATGATTGTAAATGTGCATAATTGTAAATGTGCATGATTGTAAATGTGCATGATTGTAAATGTGTATGATTGTAAATGTGCGTAAACGATTGTAAATGAAAGTAAATGTGCGTAAATGATTGTAAATGACTGTAAATGTGCCTAAATGATTGTAAATGATTGTAAATGTTTGTAAATGATTGCCAATGATGGTAAATGATTGTAAATGTTTGTAAATGATTGCAAATGTGCGTAAATGATTGTAAATGATCGTAAATGATTGTAAATACTTGTGTTAGATTGCGTCTAATTGTTCTCAACGTCAAATGGTTCCAGATCCTCTTAACTGTACAACTGCAGTTCTAAACCTCCCTTAAACCATTGGTCAAAATAAACCCCGCGATAGAGGCATTAACAAAAAAATAAATAAAAAAACCGGGCGTTTACACACGTATTTAATCATGTATTTCCCGCCCTCGTGGAAAGCCATTTTTTTTATCTAATTCAAAATCGTTTATTTCCAACTATATTCCTCTTGATAAAGTTTAATATTCCCCAACCAGTTTAGCTTTCAGCGCCACCAATTAACGACTGTCACGGCGGTGTGACAGGCTGTTGTATGTTGTATTTATTCATTTAACTGTATAACAGGTGTATTCTGAGCGGATATAATAAAATATGTGTTTTAGGATGTATTTATACAAATATTTAGTCTGACGTTGTAGTCTAAAATTACAAAAAAAAAGTGAAACGACCTGAATGAGGAAGAATGAGGGAGATTAAACTACCGTAAATGAGGGTGAATGAGTTCGTGAGTATCGTTTGAGAGGTCAAGATTGCAGCTCTAACAAACCCACACTAACGACCAAACCATTGAATTGTTACAAGCTACTGTCAATATATGACATACGCTACTGTCAATATATGACATAAATACGCTACTCACTATAATATATGACATAAGAATGAGAGAGTAAAACAGTGAGATAAGATAGACTGAGCTGTGATGGGGAGCCCCTTGTTGCCCGCCTCTAATATATGTACGAAATTGATGAGGAGAATTTGAAACGAAGATGACAGGTTGAGGCTGGTGGGAGATGAAGATGCTCTCCAGCGGTGGTGGGAGTGATGCTGCACTCCTGAGATGCTGACAGATGATAAGGTCGGTGAGGCTGGGAGGCCCCGAGACCCCACAGACATCACTGGTTGAGAGACAGAGACATATATATATATATATATATATATATATATATATATATATATATATATATATATATATATATATATATATATATATATATATATATATATATATATATATATATATATATATATATATATATATATATATATATATATATATATATATATATATATATATATATATATAGAGAGAGAGAGAGAGAGAGAGAGAGAGAGAGAGAGAGAGAGAGAGAGAGAGAGATAGAGAGAGAGAGAGAGAGAGAGAGATATAGATATATATATATATATATATATATATATATATATATATATATATATAGAGAGAGAGAGAGAGAGAGAGAGAGAGAGAGAGAGAGAGAGAGAGAGAGAGAGAGAGAGAGAGAGAGAGAGAGAGAGAGAGAGAGACAGAGAGAGAGAGAGAGAGAGAGAGAGACAGAGAGAGAGACAGAGAGACAGAGACACGAGGACCAAAGACTGTATAACACCTAACCCGTCGCCTGAAGACCACACTAAGACAGTCTGCAACAGACTGATAACTTGGCCAACACCAAGATAAACTTCAGAAACCTAGACTCAGAGGCTTCGAAAATGCTGTCTACAACCCGCGTAAGACCAACGCTTTAGTATGCAGCGTCAGCACGTTAAAAGTCTTACCGTTCACATGTGATGTACAGACACACGCAACACAACTTGACCCCAAGTTGAGGCAACTCAACTTCAGCGAGAGCCTGAGTGAACTTAAACCCACCACACACACACACACACACACACACACACACACGCACACACACACACACACTTCGCTGGAAGACAGAAGAGTTAGGGGGGACATGATCACCACATTCAAGATTCTGAAGGGGATTGATAGAGTAGATAAAGACAGTCTATTTAACACAAGGGGACACAGGTGGAAACTGAGTGCCCAAATGAGCCACAGAGATATTAGAAAGAACTTTTTTAGTGTCAGAGTGGTTGACAAATGGAATGCATTAGGAAGTGATGTGGTGGAGGCTGACTCCATACACAGTTTCAAGTGTAGATATGATAGAGCCCAGTAGGCTCAGGAACCTGTACACCTGTTGATTGACGGTTGAGAGGCGGGACCAAAGAGCCGCAAACATAACTAGGTGAGTACAACTAGGTGAGTACACACACACACACACACACACACACACACACACACACACACACACACACACACACACACACACACACACACACACACACACACACACAAACACATCCCCAACGGAAAGTGCCCAAAAAGCTGTGATTAAAATAGGAAATAGTTTAAGGGGGAACCAAACCATCGTAATTGGCGCCACAAATGACTCAAAGAGAAGTCATAAACTGTTGTTAGGTTTTCAGGCAAGAGACGTCAGCTAATACAACAGTTTAGAGGTGACGTTGGTGAAGCTTATACACGCAGCTACAGTGACAACTGTGATGAGGTCACGGTTGTCACTGTAGCTGGGGGACGCCTGTATCACTGTGCAACGGCTGGGGGATTCTGATGTAGAATGACCTAATGCAGAATGACCTGATGTAGAATGACTGATGCAGAATGACCTGATGTAGAATGACCTGATACAGAATGACCTGATGCAGAATGACCTGATGCAGAATGACCTGATGTAGAATGATCTGATGTAGAATGACCTGATGCAGAATGACCTGATGCAGAATGACCTGATGTAGAATGATCTGATGTAGAATGACCTGATGCAGAATGACCTGATGCAGAATGACCTGATGTAGAATGACCTGATACAGAATGACCTGATGTAGAATGATCTGATGTAGAATGACCTGATGTAGAATGATCTGATGTAGAATGATCTGATGTAGAATGACCTGATGTTGAATGACCTGATGTAGAATGATCTGATGTAGAATGACCTGATGCACAATGACCTGATGTAGAATGACCTGATGCAGAATGACCTGATTTGGAATGACCTGATGTAGAATGACCTGATGCACAATGACCTGATGTAGAATGACCTGATGCACAATGACCTGATGTAGAATGACCTGATGCACAATGACCTGATGTAGAATGACCTGATGCACAATGACCTGATGTAGAATGACCTGATGCACAATGACCTGATGTAGAATGACCTGATGTAGAATGACCTGATGTAGAATGACCTGATGTAGAATGACCAGATGTAGAATGACCTGATGCAGAATGACCAACTTAAACATATAACATTTCTCATTTCAATTTTGTTTCCTGTAAATATTATAAAGTTAATATTTTGTTAAGTTAACGACTTAAAAAGTCCCAAAGTCAATAAAGTCACGACACTTAAAAGGCAAAAAGCAAAAAAAATACGACATTTCACGAATAAAGTCGAGAGAAATGCGGCATTTTCAAGACTAAAGAGGAAATACTGGAAAGTTTTCCCAGCCTTATTGAAAGCCTCGATCCAGGACCAGTATCTGGTCGGCGCCAGTTTATGTGCCACATTCGTCTGGATTTCAGTAACAAAGTGACTACATCCATTATCACGATACCTTGGGCTCTCCGCCCCCCCTCTCCCCCTACTTCAGTCAGGGGCCCCAGGGACACCCCCCCTAGTTAAGTACCAGGGGGGGGGACACCCACTCAGGGGTAGGAGCTAGGATACCCTGTAAGGTTGTTTGAAACTATAATGCCATTGGGTAGTGCCAGTTCTCCCAGTACTAGTACCAGTTGTCCCAGTACCAGTACCTGTTCTTCCAGTACCAGTTCTCCCAGTACTAGTACCAGTTGTCCCAGTACCAGTACCTGTTCTTCCAGTACCAGTTCTCCCAGTACCAGTACCAGTTCTCCCAGTACAAGTTCTCCCAGTACCAGTACCAGTTCTCCCAGTATCAGTTCTCCCAGTACCAGTACCAGTTCTCATAGTACAAGTACTCCCAGTACCAGTACCAGTTCTCCCAGTACCAGTTCTCCCAGTACCAGTACCAGTTCTCCCAGTACCAGTACCAGTTCTCCCAGTACCAGTTCTCCCAGTACCAGTACCAGTTCTCCCAGTACCAGTTCTCCCAGTTGTTTGGAACACAGGAGTTAGCATAGTTAAAAACCGTATTGCAAACCACTGTTGCAAGAGTCTGGTCATCTATTGCCGCAGTCAGGTCTTAGATTGCAAGAGTGAGGTCTTAGATTGCAAGAGTGAGGTCTTAGATTGCAAGAGTGAGGTCTTAGATTGCAAGAGTGAGGTCTTAGATTGCAAGAGTGAGGTCTTAGATTGCAAGAGTCAGGTCTTAGATTGCAAGAGTGAGGTCTTAGATTGCAAGAGTGAGGTCTTAGATTGCAAGAGTGAGGTCTTAGATTGCAAGAGTGAGGTCTTAGATTGCAAGAGTCAGGTCTTAGATTGCAAGAGTGAGGTCTTAGATTGCAAGAGTGAGGTCTTAGATTGCAAGAGTGAGGTCTTAGATTGCAAGAGTGAGGTCTTAGATTGCAAGAGTGAGGTCTTAGATTGCAAGAGTGAGGTCTTAGATTGCAAGAGTGAGGTCTTAGATTGCAAGAGTGAGGTCTTAGATTGCAAGAGTGAGGTCTTAGATTGCAAGAGTGAGGTCTTAGATTGCAAGAGTCAGGTCTTAGATTGCAAGAGTGAGGTCTTAGATTGCAAGAGTCAGGTCTTAGATTGCAAGAGTCAGGTCTTAGATTGCAAGAGTGAGGTCTTAGATTGCAAGAGTCAGGTCTTAGATTGCAAGAGTCAGATGTTAGATTGCAAGAGTCAGGTCTTAGATTGCAAGAGTCAGGTCTTAGATTGCAAGAGTGAGGTCTTAGATTGCAAGAGTGAGGTCTTAGATTGCAAGAGTCAGGTCTTAGATTGCAAGAGTGAGGTCTTAGATTGCAAGAGTCAGGTCTTAGATTGCAAGAGTGAGGTCTTAGATTGCAAGAGTCAGGTCTTAGATTGCAAGAGTCAGATGTTAGATTGCAAGAGTCAGGTCTTAGATTGCAAGAGTCAGGTCTTAGATTGCAAGAGTGAGGTCTTAGATTGCAAGAGTGAGGTCTTAGATTGCAAGAGTCAGGTCTTAGATTGCAAGAGTGAGGTCTTAGATTGCAAGAGTCAGGTCTTAGATTGCAAGAGTCAGGTCTTAGATTGCAAGAGTGAGGTCTTAGATTGCAAGAGTGAGGTCTTAGATTGCAAGAGTCAGGTCTTAGATTGCAAGAGTCAGATGTTAGATTGCAAGAGTCAGGTCTTAGATTGCAAGAGTCAGGTCTTAGATTGTAAGAATCAGGTCTTAGATTGCAAGAGTCAGGTCTTAGATTGCAAGAGTCAGGTCTTAGATTGCAAGAGTCAGATCTTAGATTGCAAGAGTCAGGTCTTAGATTGCAAGAGTGAGGTCTTAGATTGCAAGAGTGAGATCTTAGATTGCAAGAGTGAGGTCTTAGATTGCAAGAGTGAGGTCTTAGATTGCAAAAGTGAGGTCTTAGATTGCAAGAGTCAGGTCTTAGATTGCAAGAGTCAGATGTTAAATTGCAAGATTCAGGTCTTAGATTGCAAGAATCAGGTCTTAGATTGCAAGAGTCAGGTCTTAGATTGCAAGAATCAGGTCTTAGATTGCAAGCGTGAGGTCTTAGATTGCAAGAGTGAGGTCTTAAGATTGCAAGAGTCAGGTCTTAGATTGCAAGAGTTAGGTCTTAGATTGCAAGAGTTCGGTTATCTACTGCAAGAGTCGGGTCATATATTGCCAGTCATGTCATCTGTTGCTATAAACAGCCACAGCTTTGGTCTTGAGTTGATACATAACTACTTTGTCAAATATATCAGAGAGTCATGAAACTGTCCAGGTCCCAAAGTCACTCTTTATTGTCCAGGTCCCAAAGTCACTCTTTATTGTCCAGGTCCCAAAATCACTCTTTATTGTCCAGGTCCCAAAGTCACTCTTTATTGTCCAGGTCCCAAAGTCACTCTTTATTGTCCAGGTCCCAATATCACTCTTTATTGTCCAGGTCCCAAAGTCACTCTTTATTGTTCAGGTCCCAAAGTCACTCTTTATTGTTCAGGTCCCAAAGTCACTCTTTATTGTCCAGTAAAGTCGCTACGAAACTCAAGATTATCTGAATTTATGAGTTCATCGGCTTTGTCCACCAAGCACATAGCGAGTGCCAGGGCTTGGGAGCTGAGGGTCAACTCTCTGCCCTTGTAGTTCAATAGTTAGCAGATACCTGTCTCCCGGCGCTGGCAGTCAGAGAGCAACAGCTCTTTGTGACAGCTAAACGACTCTTGGAACTCTTTGTGTGAGTTAAACGACTCTCATATATTACTTGGGGTACATCCTGTGTTGTGTTTTGCCTCTTAAGTGTTACTTATGTGTAAATACCTCACCGTATGTGTGTTACCCCTGCTTCACTGTAGCACATGTGTACACGCTATGTGGTGCTGTAACACATGTGTACACACTATGTGGTGCTGTAACACATGTGTACACGCTATGTGGTGCTGTAACACATGTGTACACGCTATGTGGTGCTGTAACACATGTGTACACGCTATGTGGTGCTGTAACACATGTGTACACACACTATGTGGTGCTGTAACACATGTGTACACACACTATGTGGTGCTGTAACACATGTGAACACACTATGTGGTGCTGTAACACATGTGTACACACATTATGTGGTGCTGTAACACATGTGTACACACACTATGTGGTGCTGTAACACATGTGTACACGCTATGTGGTGCTGTAACACATGTGTACACGCTATGTGGTGCTGTAACACATGTGTACACACACTATGTGGTGCTGTAACACATGTGTACACACTATGTGGTGCTGTAACACATGTGTACACACTGTGTGGTGCTGTAACACATGTGTACACACTGTGTGGTGCTGTAACACATGTGTACACACACTATGTGGTGCTGTAACACATGTGTACACACTGTGTGGTGCTGTAACACATGTGTACACACTATGTGGTGCTGTAACACATGTGTATACGCTATGTGGTGCTGTAACACACGTGTACACACTATGTGGTGCTGTAACACATGTGTACACACTATGTGGTGCTGTAACACATGTGAACACACTGTGTGGTGCTGTAACACATGTGTACACACTATGTGGTGCTGTAACACATGTGTACACACTATGTGGTGCTGTAACACACGTGTACACACACTATGTGGTGCTGTAACACATGTGTACACACTATGTGGTGCTGTGACACACATGTACACACACTATGTGGTGCTGTAACACATGTGTAACACATATGTACACCTTGTGTGTTGTGTGGTTGCTCTCCCAAATAAGCCAAACCGCTTCAGTTTGCCCATACCATAAACAACCATTATAGACACTATGAACTTACGACCATAACCATTATTGGAAAGTCTTCTATATGATAAAATCACCACCAACTTTGGAAACTATTAAAACTTCTTGTTTACCCGTTGGTATTTGGACTCTTAAGAGTGTGAAAAGTCTTAGAACGAGAAATTAAATTCCGCTGTTCTAAATTTGGTGTCCGGATAAATTGCGTTAAAATTTTTAATAATCAACAATTATAACAAGATAAAACTGGACAGATGCGAAGCCCTAAGTTATTATTTCAACATTTTTACTTACGATTCGATTATATGATTCGATTAAGTCGATTAGACCCGTGTAAAATACAAACTTTGGAAACAAAATAAATCTAGCAGAAAATACGACAGTCCTCCATGAAAGAAAACGATAATAAACAAAAGAAAATTGAGGGTAAACTCACCAATATGAACGAAGATCAGTACGAACTCCGTCTCACCGACGCTATCACAACACTATCGCGAAATATCTGCGGGATCGCATACATGTTTAACGAGCCAGACTGACCTGAGGGTCGTGCGTAACCACACAATCAAAGGAATGGTCAACAGCAGAGTGGCCTTGAGATGCTGATCGATGGTAGCACATATTCCTGATCAGATTTTGGTACACGACCTGCTGGAGGCACTCACCAACTTGCACTCACTTGAGTGTGTTTACAGTATATGGACTGTGTCTTCATCACTTCTCGTTTAACAATGCTTCATGTTGTTGTTTGGAGGACGGGCTGCAGCCCGTCCTCCAAACAAAGATCCAAAAGTGATTCCATCCACCCGCCAATCCCCCTGTTTATGAATGAAAAGCGGTTTACACACAACTCAACTGCTGACGTTCGAACATATCCGGAACAAGTGCTTCACTGACGAATTTTGTTCGAACCACAACGCTGTAAATGCTTCACCCACGTACTACAAATACAAATAATCGCCAACAGAACCTAAACACCTAACCTATCCTATGCCTATATGTGCCCAATATGCTAATATATTAAAATATTAATTTATTTTTGAGAAAATTTTCGTTTTGAATGAACAGCATGTTAAAATTTATGAATGCGTCTGTGGGGTCGACCGCTGGATGGAATGAACTTGAGCCGAGGACGGGTTGGCAAAGTGTTTGACGATCATAAACAGGTGATTGAGGGCCAGATTAATGATCATTTGACCTTCATTTATGAGGACGGGTTAGTGACTGGACCAGTGGAAGTAAAGGGTTCAGGTCTTCCTTCCAATAGTTGAATGAACACGCTGTAAAACCCACTTGAAGAAAGGCGGCGTCTCATCTCAGCTTCTGTTTAAAACATTAGCCAGATGCACTACTCATGGCGTACTTTACAAGCCCACATTCTCTAACTATCTCACCCACGTAATTTTAACGCATATATTTTACCAGCACGTCCTGAACCGCTCATCCTGATACGCTCTTCCTGATACGCTCGTCCTGATAAGCTCGTTCTGATAAGCACGTCCGTATTAAGATCAACTGGAAAACATCATCAAGTCAAATGGGGGACCTTCAACAAGCCGCCGGCTTCCTCTCCTCTTCGAGGCCATTAGTTTCAGTGGGC